CTGACTAAAAGACAATCATTATAGGCGCAAAAGAAACGGAAATAAAGCGAGGCAGAAGGGAAGAACATCTACCGACGAAAAAAAGAGATGTATATAATAATATTATTATTATGCGAATTCTAGCGTTCTCCAACTGAAGGGCGACAGGTTGGTGCCTCGGAGAAAATACGCGATATGATACCGAATAACAGCGTTGCGCGTTTGTCGTTAATAATAATATTTCTATCTCACGTATACATCTAAAAGGTGATACAAAATCACGGCGACGTGGAGTGTTTCGATTATCTGGCAGTCTTACTTTGAGCATAAATCTCTCGTGGAAATGTTCTAGATGGCAAAGAAGCGAATATAATATAAATCGCGCGTCGCATTTTTCTTTCTCTCTAATTTCTTAGCGCTATAACACTACCCATTCGTATGTTTTACACACGTTTTGTCGAAAATAGGCGTTTTTATGCGTTCAAAACGGATATGACGCAATATATCAGATATTGTATATCATATTTTTTAGTCTACATTAATATCATACAGATAAGATTTCTAAAATTTTATTTTTTCAACGTACAAATTGTAGACTGCATTTATGAGAATTTTATTTCCTTTTCAAGGAAATCTTGATCCAATTATTGCGTATGCCGATAAAGAGATACGAGACATAATGATATATCAGTTTATATACAATTATATTTATACAAGATTAAGATAAGAAAACATGGATTGTCGAATGAGTTTAAATCAATCATATCAGTTTTCTAACGAATAAATTGCAAGGTTTTAACGTAATTCAAATACTACACGGAAAAAATGATTTTGCTGAAGTATCTAAAAATTTAAATATATATGTATAGATTTGAAAATAATTTTGTCGAATCATTAAAACAACTACGTGGAAAACTCAAGCATGACGAGAATATTAGAAAAGTTAGAGTACTAGAATACTAGACAAGTAATATACTAGAATCAAGTAAAATTAAGTAGAATACTAGAAAAAGTTTCGAAATTCTATTAAACGACCTAAGCATACTTATTTTTGATAGTTCAATAAAATTATTTTCAAATCTTATCCAGCAAAATTTTTAGATACTTCAGCAAAACCGTATTTTCCACATAATATTCATATCCTGCACACTTAAATCCTTTATCGTTATCTCGATGCCGTTATCTTGATAATATTTGAACAATCGTCTAGAGCGTCATAAAATTCAGCCATTAATTTTTTCACGCTCGCACAACTGACGAAGCAGCAGAAAGTACCGCTGATACGGCACCGTCGGGTCGTCACGTTTCAATCTTTGTCGAATAATACAAGCGAGTCAGAGTACTCGTCTCGGATAGTAATGCGATATTAGGTATTCCACGTGAAGACGTCAGTGTGGGACATTAAAGTAACTGATGTTCGCGCTCGCAATTTATGTGTAGAATATACAAATGGTAAAAGATAGTGCTCTCCTTTTTTTTTCCATTTACCTCTTATACGTATTGAAATATCTAAATTCTAAACTATCACTTGAAACACATGTGATGTCGATGGACGAGTAAACTAAAAGCAAACTTCTTCGTTCACGTAATTACATTGCGCATAAATTACTTAATATAAAAATTCTTTTCTTACGCGCAGTACATTTTTAACATTATGTTGAAACATCGCTGCGGTATTACAATACTAATCGCCAATTCATGGTACCAGTCTTATATACCATTAAAAAAAAAAAAAAAAAAAAAGAGAGAAAAATCGTAGAAATATACTTGTAGCGTTATAACATGGTCCCTCGACACATCACTTTTACATACATTGTAAGTCCGTATTATAAAAAGGAATTGACGAAGAATAATCTATGACGTTACAGCTTGGTTCCCTCAAAAATATACATTAATTTTACGTTATATAAAAAAAAAAGAACTAATGCGCGCGAGATACAGCACGTCAATTGTAACTTAGTCTATCATCTAATTTCTCGGTATTCGCGTATAAAATCGCGGGCACGTCTTTTTTGTGCGTGGAATGACGAAACGCGAAGACGCACGTTAATTAATATCTACGCACTTATGCATATACACATACATTCATACATAGCTCTCCCTCTCTCACTCTTTCTCTTCTCCTTTCTCTCTCATTCTCTCGATATGCTCACATACATGTACAAGTGAACTTTTCTTGCTCTCTCTCTCTCTCTCTTTCTCTCTCTTTCTAACATATAGCAACCTACAATGTACATGCGCATTCTACGACACGCTTCTAGGATATAAGAAAGATCATGGTGTTCGGTAGCATGAAGAAATGAAAAGTTAGATTAGGTTCGCGGGGGGCGGCGAGCGCGATCGTTTTCTCTTGTGTGTGAAAGCGATCGAAGAGAATACCTCGGAGTTCGCGGCGCGAACCGAGAAACCGGTACGAACACCCGCCGGATGTTGAATCCTTCACGATATGCTCACCAACTCCCTACGGAGAGATAAATCTCTCCGTGAAAGGCACGTCCGGTCCCTGCTTTACGCGTTACAGAATGTTGCTGGCCCTTGATCTCGCGCGCCGAACTCGAGACATACGCTCAATTCGATTATGTAGAAGAAAAAAAAAAAATTATGTAGAAGAAAAATATGAAGAAGTCAGCTGAGGCAGGAATTAGTTGCTAAGATAGCACGCGAACGCCGTCCCCCGCTTTATCACACGATCCAAGTCTACGAACGAAGGCTTCCGAGAGTGCCGGGAGCACTCTCTGAGATGTTTTCTATTTTCTATTATTTAATTTTTTTTCTTTAAGCTCTGTCACAAATGTTTTTCTTTCTCTCCTCGTTTTCGTCGAAGGACAAATCCCGTCCTCGGGGACGATCGTTTCGCACGGCGAAGCTCGAAAATATGCGAGCATACCGCCGCACGCTCGCGCTGAGCGTGACAATGGAAACCCCCCGGCGGGCATGCGGCTCCTCCCCGCATATTTTCTTCGTTCCCGCGCATATTCTTACGAGGCTGATCGTCATTCCGTTCCGTGTACCTTACTCGTGTACGGGACGTACGGGTTCGCGCTCCGAGTATGCGAGACTTTGTAGGTATGCAGGCGCGAGGAATGTACACGGGAAGAACGATTTTGCAAATGTCCATTTCTATCAACTACAATTGGTGGAAACGATGGCAGAATTAGAAGAAGATAGAAAAATTTGCGCGTGAAACTTCGGCGCGTTCGACTTTTATGTGCCTTTGATATCTTGATTTATTTTGACATTAAGTCTTATTTATTTATTTGAAAAGATAAAAAGTTAAACCAAGATTAAAATTAATCTATATTGGTAAAAACGTACAATTTAAGTATAACACGCGCGTTGTTTATAATGCATTGTTTATTTAATAAACAATTTAAGCGGATATAGAAATCCGAAAATAATTTTATTGGACTGTCAAAATAATTATGTAAATACGTAAAAAAAAACTCCAGCAATGGTGCAAAAAAATCTATGTATATAAGCATTACAAGAAATATATGAACATTTTGTAAAGAAGATTACGCAAAAATTATTGAGCTCCTTTCACTTGCTCGATACTTTTAAATAGTGAAAGTCAAAAAACGTTCTAACAAAAAATAAAAAGTTCTAAAAAAAATCAGTTTTAAGCGTCCTTTGTATAATTATTTTAAAAGTCCAAAACTTTTATTTTTAGATCTGTATTGTAATTAAATTTGTAGACACTTCGGGAAAACCGTTCTTTCTGTGCGCAATAACGCGACGAGGTGTTTCGCGGAAGACTGAATTTTTTATTTCCCGCGTGTGCGATGACGTTCGTGTCGAGGGAGCTTTATCCGCGGTTGCGTGCGAACTCTGCTAGCAAAGTACACGCGTGGATGAAAACGATAACGGTGACGCAGGCCAACAAACTCGCTCCGGTCTTTGCGTTAAATACCAACTCGGTGTTAATTCGTGTGTTAATTTAACGAAAGCGAAAGATAAAGGAATAAATTTCACCTTAATTTTTTTTTTGATCGATTAATTATCGTAATTACGCATGATGAATGTAAACAATCGAGTTGAGTTGTGAGAAGGCTAGTTGAAGCTACATAATTCTAATTAATTGTACGTTATAGCAAAAATGATCAGTTGACTCGAACTGCCTCATAATATATACGCAAACTAAACTTTTAGGCTTATCTTGATCAGAATTTTTATTAATAAAAATAAAGGAGAATAATTCCGGTCTCGTCTGAAATTAACCTAAATTTTTTTTTAAATATATGAAAAAAATCATATTTAATTAATATAACCGTATCAAATCATGTATTAAATAATGGACATTTTTTACAAATTGAAAAAAAATACTGTACAATTAAAGAAAGAAACAAGGAATCTATTTAAGAATTCAAAATCCGACAACTTGTGTTACTCGTTGCTGTACGAGACACAATTCGTTAAAATCAAATAAATAAACAATAAATTGTCAGAGTTCGATACGTGTGGTTGACATTCAGATCACGAATTCGAGCTAGGAGCGCGCGAGATAAAATAAATAAAGGAAATGAATAAACGAAAGATAGAAAATAAGTGGAATGAGCGGCGTATAAAATCGATGGGAAACTCTCCACAGGTGAAAGGAGTCGAAGACGAGGAGAGTTCGACGCGAAGACGAGGAGAGACGTGGAGAGACGGACGGCGGGCTGCGCGCTTTGTCTTCGCAAACTCGACGTCGAATGGAAGTGTGTACTCGCGCGAAAGAGGAACGGCGAGACATAAAAATCTTGGCCTAACTATCCAGGGCCAAATTGCACCGACACTAATACTGACTTTAGTTCGATTGACTTGAGATCCTGCAATAATTCAGAATTAGTATCGGAAAAAAATGTAGAAACCGATCTAAATTCTACGTCGATGAAAGAAATCGTTAATTAATAATATATAATTAATTGATTATTACCTTAAATCTACTAAATTAACTACAAATTGGAAATAAACAAAATATTATTAATCTCGATTCGTCAAAGATACTCATTTTAACTGACTAAATTTCGTTTTTTCCTTTTTTTTTTATATCGACGTAATTCTAAACAAGTTTAACATTCGCCTACTCAAATGGTTAATCCAATTGACGCTAATCGAATTAATTTAGAACATCTCTGATGTTCATCGTGATAATTCGAATCGAAGGACTAATTTAAAAGCAATTTTAATTAGCCTATCTTTCTTCCTTATTTGTATATTACGAATAAAATATATAGGAAAGCGGAATCCTAAATCAGACAGTCGTCGATGCAATTTAGCCTAAAACTCTATGATTTTTCCGATCCTCCGTTTTATATCTGCATTATCGATATGGCTGTCTTTCTCCCCCATTCTCTCTCTCTCTCTCTCTCTCTCTCTCTCTACATTTATCTCTTACTCTCATCTCCAATTTAGAGACATCCTACCGTTTGCTTCTTCCCTATGTCGAGCAGGGTTATCACTCGGGGAGAGAGACGAGGAACCTTCCAGAGGACTTGGGTGGAAGCGTTCCTTGAAAAGATTCTTCTCGATTGCTTGATGTTACACATTCTCCTTGCCTTGCAGCTTAGTTGCAAGATCAGCGACGAGTTGCTTGTACACCAATGGATCGATGTTCTTGCCGAGCTGATAGAGGACAAACCAATCGCCGATCTGACACTTGTCGCTGATGATTTTAACTTGGTCATGCGGCGAGAGACGTGAGCGTGCTCGTAACAGCACGTTTCGTAGTTTCGGGCCAAGTACTACTGCTGCACGATAGAGCAGGCTAAGACCGCTCAGGATCGATAAGATGATGAACCAAAACCAGAGGAATACGTAGATCTTCTCGTTGACGATATTGAGCGGCAGCACGCAGAGCCCGTCGAACTTCTGCACCGTGCCAGATGCACCATATTTATGGAATGTGCACTTGGTAACCTTCGGGAACACCTTGGACATGGGATCGATACGTTCCTCAGGTTCCATCTCCGTGAACTTGATGACATCGGAGCCGTACGTGGTGAATTCGCCGTCCAGGAAGAAGTCTATGAAAAAGATCTGGCCGACCACGTTGATGAAGTTCAACAATTCGCATAGGAAGAAGCGATACGCGTAGAAATTCTGCGAGTGCAGGTTCGAGCTGAAATAGTCGACCAGCAATTTACGTCGATCGCTCTTACAATCTTCGCTGACTACCGGACAATTGAGATCCAGCACAAGCATCTTGATCCTGCCACCCTCCCACGTTTTCCAGAGATAGCGTGGAACGTAAAAAAGGATTGCCTGGAAGAAGAGGGTAAAGCAGACCCACTGATAGTATTTATGATACTTGACTTGATCCTGGCCCTCGACGTGCGCGGCAACTCCCGGTTGCACCAGGTCCTTGCCCACTATACCGGTTCGATCCGGGATCGTGAAGGTAGAATAAATCCAGCAGTAGGTGTCCATCACATGCAACGGGATTTCATCGACGATACAATCGATCGGATCGCCAATATATTGTCGAGAGGTCACCAATAGGGAGAAGATGATCAGTATGATTACGGTGGCCTTGTAGTGCAGTCGAAATACATTGTTATCGATGCAGACGGCGTCGAGCTTCAGCAGCCCCTTTACAGAGCCGAACACGTCAAACATGGTGGCGGTGGTGGCGACGGTGGCGGCGGCGGCTGTGCGTTATTAGCCCTCTTTCCTTTTTCTCAATCGACTACTCGCCCTAAGTACTCACGCACACGCGTTCGATCGCCAACCGGTCCAGTCACAAACCGAATTCGTTTTGTACAGTCTCCAGGTTCCACGACGCGACAGCCGTGTGTCGTGCGCGTTCGGCAGCTTCCGCGCTTCCTCGTTCTCACTCGCGTAACGCCAACCCCCTTCGGAGTTCGGTGGCGACAGCGGCGACGGTGACGGCGACGGCAGCGGCAACGGTGGCGGCCGATCGACCTTACGTTAATTCGTTCTGTCTCTCGCGTGCGCACACGTGCTTACCCTCTGCTGTTACGCCCCGTACTACGCGGCAGACGGCGTCGGTGAGATTCACTGCGTCAATATACGCATGTAACAACAACGTGGTCACGCTATGGTCGCGCTCGCGACTTACTACACAGCGTTACCGAGCGTCACCGAGCGGCTCTCTGTCGTAATGGCTGCGCTGAGCGCTCGAGACCGCGACACAAGCACGCGAGGACACGGCGCGCCGTGCGGCGTTCCACGAGCTGCTCCCTTTTCCTTGCCTCCCTCTCTCTCTCTCTCTTTCTCTAGTCCTCCCCCTCTATCGTCCTCTCCGTCTCGCTCGTCTTCACCGTACTATTCCTTCCTTCTTTACCCTGGAACTTGCTGGCCGGTCGGGGACCGAAAACTGTTCGCTGGCTTCTGCGGCGCGGCAGGGAGGCTCTCGCTCCGTCCCCACCTACAACTCTTTTGCTCACCCTCCTAATGTTGTATCCGTCCTCCTTGCTCTCCCTTTCGCCGGATAGTCTCTCGCTTTTTCCCTCGTTACGATCGGCGCACGCTCGGCCGCTCTCGGTTTTTCGTCTCGTGGCACGTTCGGCAGACATCGGCGGGCCTCGGACACAGTCGTTCGCTTCAGCGCGCGGCGACATGACTCTCGCATGGTTGTTACCATGGCGACTGGCTACCGATGCCGCGGGAGCGTGGGATTCTTCAAGCACTTTGATCCATCTGCATCCAGTCACGATCGACGCTAAATCATTCGTTCTCTCTTTTTTTTTTATCTATTATTAGAGCTGTTAGGAAGGAGGAATATATTTCTACATCTTCCATATCTATTAAATCTAATATATAGCTTTTTGTACCTTTATTATTGGTAGAAGTAACATTTTGAAACAAACCAAAGCCCGATTCCACCAATGTAAGATTAACTTTAATTTTAATTTAACTTACTGTTTATTTTTTTTTAATTCTTACGATTATATTTATCTTATTTTAATTCTCACTGAAAAAAATGAACAGATAATTAAATCAAGATTAAAGTTGATCTTATGTTGCTCGGTGAAACCGGGCTTAAATAAACTTTTAATCTGGAGTTTATTTTGATGCAACATATATGAAAATTCAATTGAATCTAAAATGACATTAATATCAGCTAATATTGATTATGAAACAAAATAGGTTTTTTTCGTGTTTGCTAAAACAATATGTTTATATTATTCTATTCTAACAGTAGATGACAATTAAAGTAAATTACAAATCAAATTGTATTTCGAATATCGATTTTTTAATATTATTTATATATTTTATATGTCATAAATTCTCATAAAATCATAATTTATATTTTCTAAATAAAAGCTCTTCTTTATTGAGATATATTAAATTTAACTAAAATCATAAAGTAGAAATTATGAACTCAGATCTGTTGTATGAGACGGTGAAAGAGAAATGCAAGTAGAAATTATGTCAATTTGCCGTGCTGCATCCTTGAAAAGTCTGCAGATAAATTACAAATTGCTTTAACATTTTTTCTTCTTTGGGTCAGTGACACAAAATTACGTTCTAAAATTACGTAACATATGAATGAAAACCGGTGAAAAACTGTACTGCTATTCCTTTTTTTTTATACGCGTAACATTGCGTGACAAGCATTTGTATGACGCAATGATAATATCTTTATCCAAACGTGGCTTATTCTGCAAACCTCTCTCACGCCGTTTACTCATGACATTTACTTGGAAAGACGTACGCGGATCTTACAACGTGAATGCACAATTACTGTAGTAATAGTATTATATGCTGTGCCAGTACTTAAAATAAGCAGCACGTTTCTGAGCTCAGGAATTCAGAGGATTTACTAAACCGCCTTCCCTTTCTGCGTGTCCTTGATGTTCTTAGTGGGAAGCCTTTAAGAAGAGCTTTTCTCTTTTCGGAGCAGGTCAAAAGGAAACTAAATCTGTAGAAAACTAAATTTAGATATTTTTCATCTGTTCTTCAAAAGCCAAAATTCTTGTACTAAAAAACTGAGATTATGTATAATTCATGTGAAATAATCACAATCAATTATTATGAATTAATAATTAATTTATGTTAATTTATTTATATTTGGAAAATACTGCGGTGATACCATATACCGCAAAGCATATCCTGCAAACAATTTATATAACGTTAATCGATACATTTAAAATTACAATATACAAAATATCTCTAGTTGCAATTAATGTCCAATATATTATTATATATTATTAAAAATCAAATAATAATGGACCACGAGCTGAGCTAAATTTTAATCTTAAAGATATTCTCTATATTCTTTGGAGTGTAAAAAGAGTGACCATTGAATCAGTTTTGAAAAAGAATGGCTCAATTTTCAATATTTAAGAATACACATTTCACTCTTCGGAATAACAATTTATTTTAAATATAATAATAAATATTTTATATAGTAAATATATGAATATTTTGATCTTTATCAAGTCATTTTCAATATCAAGAAAACAGTATAAAATATCAATTAAACGTACAAATTGATAAATCGTCACCTTCTGATGTTACTCGCAAACATTAATATATGACATCTCGTAGAGGTTCTTATTCATTATTCAATAACCTAAACGGTAATCTGTTAAATATAAATTTAGAATAAATCGTGAATAATGTTGGATGTCAGTCATAAATAAAAATTGACAAAGCGTTATTGAAATCGCAAACCTTAATGAGCATAAAAATTCAAATCATATGTCATCATGAATAATCTGATGAGATTTTATTTTTTACAAAGATAGATATATAAGATGTATGGATTATATGCTTATGCTATTCCTCGTCAGAATATGAAATATAATCTTTAACATTAAAGCCTCCAGCTCAGCTCATAGCCCATTATTTTCACTTTATTTTTAATCTTATTAAGTGTTTTCATTTACAATTTATGTACCATTAATATAAAAACATCGATTATTATGTAATCATATTATACAAATTAGTGCACCAATTCCATTCATCCTGCGCATCGAATCGTAAATCATTTATAATCATCGTATACCGTTGAGCGTGTGCTCTAAATATAGAGCTAGTGTGATGAAACCTGCGCCTCTTCGCTGATTAATTATTCTCGCTAAATCTATATTTAACAGATTACCGCTTAAGCTATCGAGGACTGAGTAGCAGATAAGGATACCTCTGTGAGACATCATGTTATAATACTATATTATAGTTCGCGAGTAACGTCAGCAGGATAACGTTATCTGACTAAACAACCCTATCGTGTTGCGTTGAGAAAGTGTCAGATATTAAAATAATAGCCAGCTGTGTTTGAATCATTTCATAGAAGACCACGTCCGAATATCGTCATCTCGTTATCTCGCTCTTCAGGTAGGACTTTACCAGGCACGAATTCAGATGAATCAGCAAACTGTTCCGCGAAAAGGGATCTTTAATTCTGATAGCACCAAGAAAGAGCCATAAAAGACTCAAAGACCAAAGAATTCCAAACCGGTTGAACACGGCCGGTTCAATTTTCGAAGTCGGTCGAACAAAATAATCATTTTATTCATCCGTAACATTATTTTTCGTGTTTATTGCATTCCACAAAAATCGAATGCTTCACGAGAAAAGATTGCTTTAATTATTACGTATATATAATATGTATACATACGTACATATGTGTATATCATTCTTTATAGAGTTCGATGCACTTGGGAAAAGCTAGTAAATTGCAAATTTGATTTGAAATTATCGCTGATTTCAACGTTCCTCGTAAAATTTTACAACTTTCGTCTGAGCGGCTCTTATCCTCTTTTGGCGCAACACTAACTGGCATTACAATACAATTGTGCAGTGATGTTTCAATATTGATATCAGAGATAGGGATATCTATTAATCGTGAAAAACGTAGATAAGGTGAATTATATCCTATCGTGCAATCGTCTGAAGATTTTACAACCTTATATTGATACATGTAATCTGATCCGAGAGATAAAAACCATAATATTACGATTATTTAATTTACAATCGATATTACATGTATTATGTATGATACATGTATGTGACACGTGTGATACATTCCGTACGTGCTTGTGACTCATGATGTTTAATTCGGAAATACTCATCTGGAATGTTTTTTATATTTTAATTAAAAACTTTTTATATAATAAAATTTAGTTGATTATTCTTGTACCTCAATTCTGTACGAAAAATCAAAATTAAGAGATTTTCACATTCTTATCATTATATTTTCTTGTTGTTGTACAAAAAAAATGTTTCTTAACCCCGATTCTGTAATTAAAAATAATTCGATATCGTTATGTTGTCGTTGCATAGATATTATATATAAAAAATTATATGACAATATAATGATATTAACACTGTCATTATAATAAATATATAATATTTACAATAAATATATAATAAATATGTTCATAAATATTCATTATTTATTTTTTGAAATATTATATAAATATTTTATACATATTTTATATAATATTTATGATAAATATGTATAAACATTTCTAGTAAATATTTTTTACTTAGATTATAATACATTATTAAATATTTTCATAGCATTTACTATGATATATATGTACAATAAATATTTATGATCTGCCCAAACCAATCTAAAATAATATTACAAAAAAATATTTACAAATTATCAAAAATAAATCTTACAAATATGTTGTAAACATTTTATAAATATTGTGTATTGTC